CATCAGGTGGAGAAGTTAGCAGAAGTGGGATGAATCAACTAGAACAGCTGCCTTGTTCATTAACTGTCTGAGTGAGACATTGAGTGTCTCACTCAATCTGTATTAGCCATTTAAAGTCCTGTACTGTTCTAGGAATGCTGCAATATAATCATCAGTGAGTGCCTGTTTTCCTTCCTGAAATCAACTTTTTCCTGGTTGCAGCACTTAGGTTCATTTAGTCTTCTCTATGATGTTGATTTCTGGGGTTCAGAGACATCTCCTTGGTTCTCAGCATGGAATCTGCCCTCAGAAGACAGGTACTTCTGTGCGTGCCATTCAAGAGCAAGGAGGGAGGTAATGGTTTGTCACCACTGATCTCTGTAATGGCCTACTCTGATGTGAACCCACAATATAAACTTAAAGGCACTTTATACCCATTTCCATTTTATTCGTTCCCCAGAAAGCCAGAAAGGTTGTAAAATGGTGGGTTCATGGTGCCTCTGTGTGACTCCACAGCTCAGGAACAAGCAGCTTATTTCCTCAACACCAAGCTCAGCTTGTGCTGAGCTTGGCAGACCTTGGACATTTAGCAGCCTATTTCATGTCCCATTAGGCTGGTGCACAGACAGAGGGTGAGAGCCTTCACTGCCTGGCCTCTCTGCACTCCTCCTGCTGTCAGGGAGAGGCCCTCTCCTGCATCTTCAGTGCAGCTGCAGAGGAAGGAGTTGCTCACAGGGGCTGTCAGGCAGTGGAGACCTGATCTAGTTTCATGGATGTCCTAATGCCACCCTGCTGGGGAGTTCTCAGACTGGCAGCTGTAAACAGTGGGCAGTTCTTTACTAGGAAACACCTAAGTGCATGTTCTGCTTTGGAGTTTTATCTTCCTTAAAAAAACCCCAAGCAACAAATCCATCTCTTTTCTGAGAAACAGTAACACAGAAGAAGAATATATAAACACAGATATATAAAAAGAAATGAATACATATATAAATCAGACCCTCTGTCAGACATTGGAATAGTTGTAAGCATTGCATCTCCTCCCAGGCACTAGAGCTACAGTCTAGTATAGGATGGATACTGAATGCAGTTTTACCCATTACCTCAGTGATAGTTTAGGTCATTCTCCTTTGTGGATGCTGTCATTTTCTTTAACAAGTCTGACTGCCTAGGAATTCACTTGTCTTTGTTAAGTAACTGTTATGTGGTTTAATTGGTCATCGGCCCTAAGTCACCAATATGTGTTTATTTTATAAGGAAGTTCAATGAGAAGATGTTCCTGTGCATAGATTCTGGAACAGAAAGTTCCAGAATATTTTTCAAATATTTGAAAGTCTTTGTAACTCCAGACCTCTTGGAGCTGATAAGTGTATTTCAAGGAATAACATGGCTGCTGTTGACAACTTGTCCAACTTTTACTACTTTGGAAAAAAACACACCAACCCTGTTACATGTGGGTAACTGTAGAATCATTTGAAATAAGTAGCAAAATTTATTTTGTCTTTACACTCTTTTCTGGTATGCAAGACATAGTCCTGTTTATTTATTAGTTATTAATAAAATAAACAAAATAAAGCAAAAATTATGAAGCCAGTTGTTTGTACAGCCAATGCAGAGTCCACTGAGACTGATTGCTTTTCTTTAGCAAGTGCAGAGCAGCTGTAACTGGAAATGTGACTGGATGGTATGTGGGTAAATCATCCAACTAGTTATACGGACAGCATGTGCTTAAGAAATACCAAAGCAAGTATCCAGCAAGTATCTCAAAAAGGTGTTTTATTTTCTTGTTTACAATTTCCATAGATGAATGGAAGTTGTGGTTTTCCTATTAGGAGGTACTTATATTTACAAAGTATTTGACTGAACTCAACTTTTTGTCCCATGCTAGAATAGATGGCACAAATGACTAATAGCTTCTGCACAAGCATGTGACATGGAAAGAGGGAGATGCCTGACTCAAAGTCTCTGCAAACTGCCTTTGAAGATTCCACAGACAAAGGAATAGCATGGCCACTCTTGCTTTTAGGGCAGACAAACAGGACTCCTACATTCTTTGAAAATAAAATGGATGCTGGAAACTTGGATAATTACACAGCAAATCTGTAGCCTCTTTCATTGGAAGTGACTCCTCTGTGTCAATTCGCTCCTTCAAACCTGACTCAGAGGGATCTCACATGGGGATGTAATGGGAGCAAGCACTGTTGGCATTAGGGTGTTGCTCAGCCTGTGAAATCTCCTGGGTTGGCTATAGCCACTGATAAAAATGAAGAACATCAAGTGAGCTCTTTCACGCTAAGGTTAAAGGACAAGGATGTGGAATCGCCATACCTGCATATTGGTGACATATGCCAGCCTTCACTAAACATTCAACATCCCAGGAGGAGCCTGACAGTGCCTGGTTTCACTGGAAGACACTGAAATCAGAATGGCCTTTCTTTGGGCTTGCCTTGGATTTACACTCTGCTGATTGATGGAGTAGAGAGCCCAGGCTGGCAGTTAGGGTCTCAAGTGATCCAGCTCTAGCCTACAACTTGCCACTGGGTTTGCAAAACCCATATACTCTGGGAAAGTCTTGGTAGGTTAGGTAAGGATCGTGATTGGGGCATTTATATAATATTGGGGAAATCCAGATTTAAACCTTCTGTCTCTGACTGAGAAAATGTCTCCTTCCACTCTCAGAAGAGAGTCCAAACCTATGAGCCATACAGGCTCTTTGCAAAAATACTGAAGGAACAAGAGGACACTAAATCATGCAAGGAGCAGCATCCAGAGAACCAGGGTCAAGACTTTAGTAAGGTAGGTGAGTGTTCTTTTTCCATTACTATGTGCAAAAGCAAGGGAAAATAGGTTTTCCTGTGGAGGATCCTCCAGGGCCTTCTGGGGAGAGCTGCTGAGCTGGGTTAGTTGTTACCTGAGTCACTGACTGGTGAGTGCTGGCAGTCTGTGGTGAATGGAGACTGGCCCTGTCCTGCAGCCCACAGCTGGAAACCAACCTCCTCTCTTTTATGACACAGGCGTTATTCCTTTTGTTTGGCACAGGCAGCTCCAAGTCTGTATGAGTAGCTACTATGAAAAGTTTTTCCTGGTACCTAATGCTCTGTATCTAACACACTACCTTGGTGTTTTTATTTGTGTTGGGGTTTTTTTTGGGTTTTTTGGGGGTTTTTTTTTGTTTTGTTTTGTTTTTTGTTTGTTTGTTTGTTTTTAATGTAAAGCCACTGATTCCCAGCATGTTTTTGTCTAAGTATTCAGGTATTCTGCAACAACAGCATTGCATACATTTTCTTCTCCAGACAACCACCTGTAGATGTTAATACCGAGGATTTTTTTTCCAATTGTTTTACGACTTCTTTTTTGTTATTTTAAGTTCTCACAAAAATGGTCCCACAGAAATCATGTCATCACACTTTCCTGCAGCCCCAGGCAAAGCAAATTTTCTGACATTTTACTGCCACACAGCAGTTACCAAACAGACACGGTTTTGCATTGCTTTTGCAACAATACTTACTTGGTTTTCAAGTTTTGATGGGTTATATTCAACTATGTCTTTGTCTTGACAGATTGTTTTCCAATTGCTGCTCCGCCTTCTACTGTTTGCACTAACATCCAATAAATGGGGCCAGCTGGCAACAAATGTGATTTCATCATGTAGAGTCTCTTTCTCAGATGACTACAACACAAAACTACACTCCTAAACTCCTGCTTTGGAACCACTTTGCAAGAGGTTACTTGACTTTCTTTTAAAAATGCAGGAGCCTTCACAGAACACTCCCCAGTCTTGCTGCTGAATGAACTTTTCCTAAATGCTGCTTTTTGAGAGTGGGAATAATAACATAAGGGTGCAGAATCCCTTGTGACATCTTACCTGGTTTCTCAGGTCAGTGCACTTCAAAACTTGGTTCTGTACTTACCTGAAAGCAATATGAAGAGGTACACACATCTAAGCTACAAAAAGGTTAGGGTCAATATTTGCACAAAGAAAGGGCCCTCATCAAGTGTAAATAAAAATTATTTTTTTGGAAGCTGATATAAAATTTAATCAGCTCAAATATTTCATTGGGCCCAGTGATCTTTCACAAATAGTAAGGATGGTCTGAGGTGATGACTATGCATGGGGAAAAAGTGGCATAACAAGTGTGTTTGTATAACGCTGCCATCTCTTCATTGAGTTTTCTGGATTTAATGGAATTTCCCAGTGTCTTGTCTGTGCTGATACTCCTTATTATAGTGAAATAACTAACTAAAGCCACTGATCATCTGGTACTGAGTCCAGAATTTTTCAGTGATTCTTCTTTCCTTGTTCTCATTAACAAGGTGGTCATTTCTTTAATATTAATTGGTGGAAGATGAAGATCAGCAAGATTAATAGCTTCCTGTGGTTGTGTGTTTTATAGGCCCTGGTTCTGCCCTTGTTCAGGTTCACCTTCAGCTCCTTCCCCCCCAGTCTTACATAGAAAATGTTCAGTGTTTCCTGTTGCTGATTGAGAGCTACATGTGTAGGCTCTGCAGAGGATCTGGACAGGCTGCATCAATGGGCTGAGGCCAATGGTGTGAGGTTCAACAAGGAAGGCCAAGTGCCAGGTCCTGCCCTTGGGTCACAACAGCCCCAGGCAGTGCCACAGGCTGGGGCAGAGTGGCTGGAAAGGACCTGGGGGTGCTGGTGACAGCAGCTGGACATGAGCCAGGGTGTGCCCAGGTGGCCAAGGGGGCCAATGGCATCCTGGCCTGGATCAGCAATGGTGTGGCCAGCAGGACCAGGGCAGGGATTGTTCCCCTGTGCTGGGCACTGGTGAGGCCACACCTCGAGTGCTGTGTCCAGTTCTGGGCCCTCACTGCAGGAAAGACTCTGAGGAGCTGGAGTGAGCCCAGAGAAGCAGCTGGGGCAGGGGAAGGGTCTGGAGCACAAGTCCTGTGAGGAGCAGCTGAGGGAGCTGGGGGTGTTTATCCTGGAGAAAAGGAGGCTTAGGAGAGACCTTATCACTCACAAAAAATTTCTTCATGGAAATGGTTGTTAAACATTGGAATGGGCTGTTCAGGATCGTGATGGAATCACTGTCCTTGGATGTCTTCAACAAATGACTGGACGTGGCACTTAGTACCACGTCCTGTCTAATTGCCAAGGTGTGATCAGTCATAAGTATGCTTGAAGATTTTTTCCAGCCTTAATAATTCTGTTATTTTGTGCTTCTGTGATTCTGTGTCTTGACAAAACAGCCAAAATGTGCCTACACGCTGGCCAGATGGCTGCTGCCTCTTCAAATAGAGACATTGAGTTGGATCTGTCTTTTGACTCACAATGAGATACTAAATTTGCCTTCTTTCCACTTTTCGGCTGCTAATTTTCCAATGAACTTGTAATAACTTACCATCTTTGAGAATGTTGCACCTCTCTCAAACTTGGCTCAAGGTGGATGTTTCACTGAAGTTGGAGCTGGGAGGCAGACAGGCAGATGGCATGGTTGTACAGCGGTGGTTACTATGGAAAACAAGCTAGAAAGGAAGAAATACAATTCGGAGTTCAGTAATTTTATGGTGTTTCATATATTGAAAGATTGAAATGTAAAACAGCTACACTGAAGGTACCTATACACAGTAACGTGGTATTTTTTTTTTATAATTGAAGATTGAGGAATTGTGTTTTAAGATGCAGTCTGTGATTGTCAAAGATAGATGTTATTAACAGACTGCTACAGTCCTCCCTCCCTTTCTTCTTCCTGTGGTACCCTTAGTTGTTGTTTTAACCCTCCCTTTTCTGACTCCATTTTTTCTTTTCTATACTTTGGTTGCAAGAGGAGAGTGGACTTTGGAAAAATCTCCAACTGCATTCACACATAATTATATCTGAGGAAAAAGACAAAAAAAGACAAAATGGAGTTTTTACTCTTCCTAGAAATCAGTGACACTGAACAGGACCTGCACATGAATGCAGATGACAGTAGACAACCTGATCAGTTTAGCCTGATCTGCAGCCCAGTGTTTTAGATCAAAGAGGGTAATCCTAGGCTCTAGTGGCTTAAGAAAGAAGTATTATCTCCATGCAGCATTGATGGGAGCAAAATGAAATGGATTTTTTTGATGCTGATGTCCATGTTTGTAGAGGTAGTTGAAATAGTAAAGGAACCTAAACTAGAGTGTTATAGTGAGGAAAGATATTTGAGGAAATCAAATTTTTCCCTCCTGTGAAGATTAATAAGTCACAAATATTTTGCATTTTGAGAAAATGACCAAAATCTGTCTTGATGATGGCCTGTGGTAGGCTAACAAGTAACCAAGGTAACAAAAAAAGCAGAATTAATAGAAAACATTTCTGGTGCACAGCTTAAGTATTGCAAAAAAATACATGGGAACATCATTTTGCAGTTGTTTATTTGGAAGTCTTCAAATTAAGCCTTTAGATTAAGCCTTTCTTACCTGAAGACATTTTAAGGCTTAACCAGACTTAAAGTCTGAAAAATTATGAACTCAAAGACAGAGTAAAATGTTGTCAAGCTGAAGTGCTGTGTTGAAAAGAACGAAGTAAAAACAAATGCCAGCAGCCAAGCAAAGGGATCTACTTACCTCATCTCCTTGAGGACGGGGGAAGTGAATGGCTGGCCTATCCTGATGCCTGAGTACATCCTCATGGGCACAGCACATGAATTCTCCTCTTCCTCTCCTCTACTTTCTCCCATTCCAACTGTCTCCTGTTTCTGGGTCCAGTGAGGGTAGGTACTGCCTGCTGGAACACGTGGACTGCTGCTGTGGTGGGATGATCATTTGGGCCTTGACTATTTCACACTTCGCTCTGACAAACAGGCTGGTGGCAAAGGTTCTCCTAAAATAATAGAGCCATTGTATACTCTGTACCTCTTGGAATCAGTCTATGGTGTAAGTGTTCTGACAGGCATTTTGGAGTCTAATCACAGCCACCTTAAATTTTAATGTTGGCCCCAGTGCATTTAGTCTCTGTCATAGCAGATGTTTTTTTCAAAGACTAGTGAAGTTTTGGTTTGGGAAGAAAGTTAAAGGCTTGGAAGGAAAGAGCAAATCTGGAAGGGTTGCCCTGTACTTCCTTAGGCTTTTGTTAACTAATACTCTTCTTTGGAAGAGTCAAGTTCCACCTGGCTGCAGCTGGGTGCCTGTGCAAAGCCCAGCAAAGACAGTCCTCACAGTGCTGTGCTCCCTGAGCACAGCAGCTCTCCTACTGACCAATGCAGAGACCTTTAGGTCATTCCCCATGTTTAAACAGAAGAAATCGCTATTCCTTTTCAGAAGGAAATTACATTCGCATGAAAATGAACCTATCTAGCTCAATGAGCAAGGCAGAGAAGTGCCTATGATACTGAAGAAAAATATTCTACATGTTTTGTCCTGCATTTTCCCAGTATGTATACAGCTCACATTCTTGGAAAAATGAAGAAAAGATGTTTCTCAACTCTGTTTTTAAATTCCTAAAAGGCATATTTATTGTATAGCACCTAGCTGCTGTTTAGTCTCCTCAATGAAACAAGGACAGTATCCAAAGAAAAGGTATTCGTATCAGTGGAAATTACCAAAATAATTGATAAAGTGGCCAGAATCTCTGGGGATATGCAGGGTAACAAACCTTTCCTTAATGAACTATTTTAGACTGTTAAACTGTCTAAGATTTTTGGTTGAGGTTGTGTTTTTTTGGCTTTGTTTTTTCTTGGACAAAAATGCTGTGAAACTCCCTGATGCTGTTTTTGGTATTCCTGTATTTCTAATCATAGAATGGTTTAGGCTGGGAGGGGCCTTAAAGTTTCCTAATTCCACTGCCTCTGCCATGGGCTGGGACACCTTTCACTAGACCAAGCTGCTAAGAGCCCCATACGGTGAGTCCTGTATGCCCATCCTGAGCATTTTAATCAGGAAATAAATGTTTGTATTAAATTAAATGATGGAAAATACAAATAAAACAAATTATTTATTTTTAGAAAGCTCATTTTTCTTATTTGTATTTTGACACTACTATTTTGAATTATGATAGCTAAACTGTTAGGGTGAAAACAATCAAAATTATTGCAATACAAAAAAATAACAGGTATACCATTAATTGCAACTCAAGAAGCAAATTACATAAGCCTTTCCCATTATAAAAATATGCAGTATCTTATAAGCATGATATATCAGCAAAATAAGTAAAATCAGGTTTCAGAAATTTCATTAAACATTTAAATCGCAAATTAACAAAAATATTTTGAGCAAGAACACATTTGTTGTGAGTTTTCTGCCTCAGAGTGGAATTTAAATTAGATTCAATTATTCAGTCGTTTTATGCTTTTTAAGGCCATTAGATGATAATACCATTCCAGGAGAAACCTGTTTGCCAATCAATTAGAAAGACTCCTAATGGGTTGTTTTAGAATGCACCCAATTATTTGGGTTACATTAGTAATGGCAAGAACCATATATTTATTAACCAATATTCAAAGTATTTATATATTTGAGGAATTGTAGCAGGTGTAAGGACCTTAATTTTACTAATAACTTGAAAATATTTTGAGTGTGACTTTTAGCTTTCAAATGTTAAAGGTAGACTAGCTTTCCCCTCTCAACTTCACAATAACTAGAGAATGAGTCATGTTTGTGGTTGATTCTGCCTGAAATTTCTCTGTCATGAAACAAACTCCTTTCATTCCCCAGAATTTACTGCTGGAAATTTTGCAGGAAAACATAAGCTTGCTTCATTTCTCCTAACTTCAGTTGAAGTTGATATAATAATGATTTACTAAACAAAAGGCATATTTTGTATTCCTGTGTTGATTAGAAGAGCATTCAAAGATTCAAGAATTGAAGAGAATTCAAGGATTCAAACTTAGCATCAGGCAGGAACATTAAGACAAGCAATTAAAAATTTTGTCTATATGCTCCTCATATTTCAGTTGAATTATTTCCATAGTTTTTACATCATGTACAGAATGTGTAGATCTGTGATTTATCTGTGATCACTTGCTCTGAATAGGAGGAAGTAGAATAAGAGGTAGCTAAATATGCCTATCAAGATTTTAGAAATCTAGCTTCTCATGGTAATTCACACTGATTTAGTCAATGTCTTTAGCTGAAGTTCATTCGTATCGAGACCTTTAGGCACGTCTTCAGTGCCTAAATATGAAGATCATCAGAAAACAATGGCTAAATTAACACCTACACTTTATCTTTTGTTTGTCCCCAAAAACATTTCTTGACTGTGAATGATAATCCTCATCTTTGCCGACTTGACATAAAGATTTACATATTAATGATTTTAGAAGAATTTTTTTATGCTTATTTTGATTAAATCTGTGCAATTCAGCCATATTACAGTCTCAGAAAAGGAGGAGAGCATGCAAAGTGAAGTGCTGCTGTTAGAAGAACATAGGAGAAAGTGGTCTGAAAGCAAAGGTCCCTGCGAGAACTTAGCAACACCTCAGGTGGGTGCCAGGACAGGGCCACAGGCTCAACTCATGTTTTTCAACTCATATTCTCACTTCCTCTTATGCAAATGGCCCCAGGGGGCAGTGGGCAGACAGTCAGTGCTGTGCAGTGGGATCCATCCCCTCCTTTCCCACCACAGTGGGAATAACCCACCTGTAATATAACAAGGGCTTGAGGTTCCACACCTGCTCATGGTGGTCCATCCCTCTCCTTGCCTTGGTCATCCTGCTCAAATCTCACAGCTAACTCTGCCTTTCTCCTGCTTGCTTAATGCCATAGAGCCCTTGCCTACAATTTTGACTTGCTTTAGTTGAATTTAACTGTCTCGATCTGTATATCCAGCTGTGGCTAGTTCCACTATTGACTTTTTCAATGTGTGGTGGAGTAGTGCTGCAGTCTGATAGGCTGCTCATTGTCCAGAATTTTGAATATCGAGAGAATTCCTGAATACAAGATTAATGTCTCCTCAAGGGCATTAAAAGTGCAATAAAGAGAGCAACTGGGGGCAGAGATACCCACATGTGTCTGAGTCTGTCCTAGTGGCAGTTCCTGACAGTTCCCCTTCCTTGCAATGAATCTGTTCACAGAATACAACTATGTTACAGGCTCAACATTTTCTTTTTCATGTGTTCGTGGAAAATGCTATTTTATTTTGTGTGCTGACAACAGAAATATTTTGTCTGACTATCATAAGGCCTTTCAAGGCAAAAGAAAAAATTGTGGTGGTACTAGTGTGCATAAAACTTGTGTGACCTTGCTTGCAACATGTCTAAGATGGAGAATTACTAAGATTCAGTTTTTTTTAGTAACTCCATTATGTCAACATTTCCTGGTTGCATTAGTCATGGTTTCTCTTTCACTGAAACAAGACAGGTTGAGCAATTGGCCTCTTGCTGGGCTATCTGGAAAGATGATGCTACAAACTACACTAAATCTGCTATTGCAGATCCTCTCTGTCCTCCACTCCCACAAGGCTTGGTTTTCCATTTGTTCCATGGGCACTTAAGGCTTTCCAGTTTTATTTTTCACTCGTCTGATGAAGAAATAAAAAATGAAAGAGAAATACAGGGGAAAAAATATAGTGTGAAAAGTAATTGTCCCAGTCCTTAAATAATAAGGCAGCCTCAAAGTGCACAAAGAATAAGGTAGTTCTTATCTATTATTATTTGAAAGTTATTTATTTCTGTAGGACTCTTGCTGACTTAAGAGGGATTTTACACTGATTAAAGATGACCATCTGCATGATATTCACTTTTTCTGAAACTTGTACTCTTTTGTTTTATTCTGACATTACAAGTTGATAACATGGACAGTTTGCAGAGCTGCTGCTGCAACTCTAGCTGAAGACCAAAACTGAGGAAGAAAGCAGCCAGATTTTATGAGTGGTAATTTCATATGTAGTTTGTTCATAAAAATGCCAACAAAAAAACTTTTATTGGCTTCTTTGGACTGAACTCCTATTGCTGGTATTTGTTCTCTCTTCCCATCAAGGAAAAATTACTTTTAAATTTCATTCCAAAAGCACAAAAACTTGTCAGTGCTTCTTTCTTTTTTTAAATTTTTTTTATTTTTTCCAAAGACAAGTTCCATTTTCCTGTGTTAGCTGTCCAGAAGGATGTGTACTGGGGCTACCAAGTCCTGCCTGTGCAATTATCAGTTCCACAGAAAGGTACTCATGGAACAAGGTCTCATGTCATCTATGTCAGCGTCAGAAGGAAGATGGAAAAGTTTGATTTAGCACAAGGTCAAGTCAGGAGTCTTGCAGACTGTGAGGCGTTGCTCTTACGGGTTTTACTGTGCTGTGCTGAGTATGATCTGGGCAGGTTTAGGGGCCATGGTATGATCTGTAGATACAAGCTATTGTAATAATAAAATCCAAATATCACTATTAGTGAATCATTTAAGTAACAGTTCCATTTGCTGATTACATCTGTGCTTGTATATCAATCATAACAGAATTTTAATGGCACAGAGGCCAATGATCTTAGAATTCTGAGCTCATGGCTTGTTAACCCCACTTAAATTTTGAAACATGATGGCCAAAACTGGAAATAACCTTATCTAGGAGGTCTTGGGAGTCTGCTTGTTTTGTGAGACCAAAACCACACTGAGGGTGATCTAACACCACTGAGTGTCACTGCCTAGGCAAATCCTACAGCACTGTCCAATTCCTTAGCACTGGCCTACTTAGCATGACTGTTTTCCCTGAGCTTCAGTGCAATGCTAACCCCAGTGCACAGTGGTGCAGCTTGTGGCAGCACCATGTTATATCACTTTTCTGGTCAATGTTTCAGTTCCTGGACCTTATGTTAAAAGAAGTTCATGAGCCCCAAAATGTTAAACCTCTTTCAAAGAGAGATTCTTCTCCTGAACACTGGAAGGCTCCACTGGAGGAGATGACAGCAAAGTTACAGCAGTGCCCTGTGGCTTGCAGCTGTACATTCCACTGTTCTGGCACTGTTGTATGAAAAAATAGCCCCACCTCCTGTGCAACTGCAAAGTCCCCAGAAAGATTTCCACATATAATATCAATATGGGACAAAATTCAACGGTTTACACGAGCAAAATACAGTGACAAAAT